TTACAACAATTTAAACAATAAATACAATGAATAAAATGTTTACAAAAGTAATTTAATATAAAATCATATACCATAATGTCATACATTCAACATTATATGAATCGTACAAATAAGATAAGAAATATAGAGTAAATATTTGTCAATGAATTAGAGAGGTAATTTAGAACATAGGAGACTACCATTGTGAGCGGTTGGGCTGGAGATGGCGACACATTAGTCTCTTGAGAAATCTGAGTGTTCAAGTGGGTGCATTGTACGTGCAGGTGTGGGTGTAGAAAGCAGTTGCATGATAAAGAATAAAGTAATTCACGGTTTCATTATACTAATATAAAGATTGGGGAGTGTATGATTGTTTTACTTGCCGCTTAAGTATAGCTTTTAAGGAGAAGATGGTTGAACAAGACTTTATGTTTTGGGGGAAATTATTCCAAATGTCCGGACCAGAATGTTTAACAGGTTTGTGTGTTATTGATAATTTGGGATTTTTATGATGAAAGTTTCCAGATATGCGAGTAGGGTACGAATAAATAAACAGAACTATAAAGCCTAAACATGTTTAATTGTGGTAATTTCATTTCATTTTTAATTTCATTTATTTCACTCTCCAAAAAAACTATTGACTATTAATGTACTTAAACATAATGAATGCTACTTGAATAGTGTTCAAATCTTCTTCTTTTTTAAGTTTATATAATAAAGGATAAGTGTGAGCTAAGAAATGCGAACCTGTAACAAAAACGTACGGCTTTCTCATGTAGCTAATAAATAGGATTAATTTTAGTCGAACCACAATTTGCCCATACAATATTACAATATGTTTAATACGGGAGAACTAGTGTATTATGTAGAAGGAATAACAGTTGCATGGGGGTAGAAGAAACTTTCGCTTAGAGATTATTCCAATACTTTTGGAAATGCACATTGTAACGTGGTGTAAATGCTCATTCCAAGTCACAGTTTCATTATAAGTACTCCCAAAAACTTGGACTTATTTTTGTCTTCTCTAATAGCATATCATCGATTTGAATATATATATATATATATAGATGTTTCTGTATAATGAGAATGATGTTTAAAATACATGAAATGAGTCTTTTGCGTATTAAGAGAAAGATTTGCTGGACTTAAACCAGTTTGATACTTTGTTAATTTCATAATTCAAAGTATTGTTTAAAGAACTAAGGTCTTTGTGATAATAAAATATATTTTTGTCATCAGCAAATAAGATACAAGAAAGAAGGGGGATTTATTGATAATATCATTCATATAAATAAGAAATAAAAGTGGACCTAATATGGAGTCTTGAGGAACACCGCTTTGAATTAAAAGAGGATCAGAATCATAACCATTGAATGTAACGTAATGTCTTCTGTTTGTTAAATAATCTTTACACCATGAGAGTGGCTGACCCCTAGATCCATAATGGCTGAGTTTGGAGAGTAGAATGGGCGTGATTGAGCGTGTCGAATGCTTTATTCAAGTCACAGAATATACCTATAACATGTTTTTTTGTTAGCTATGGCCCCTGCTAATTTTGTCATAAATTTGAAGTAATGCTAGGTGAGTTGAGTAATTTTTCCTGGAGCCATATTGATTTGAATTGCGTATTTTGTGTTAGGTGATAAGTTTATGTAGCCTATTATGAACGATTTTTTCGAAGACTTTGGATATACTTGGAAGTAGGGAAATCGAATGATAATTACTAATCTCGTGGGGATCATCTTTTTTTGAGAATGGGATTGACTTAAGCTCCCGGCCCCCCCCCCCCCCACTCAGTGTTATTTAGGGTACGCATATGCTCGTACTCTCTTTTTGAAAGCACCCCCTATCTGAGGACTGCCAACATTTCCGAACCCCCCTTTCGCGGGCATTTCGCGGGCTTTTCCTGCCTTCGAGACCCCCCTAAATCAGGAAAAATGTTCAATATACCCCCCTAAATTCGGAATAATTTCTCAGGAGTCCAAAGAGATAAGAGAAAAAAAAAAACACCCCCTTTTTAAAGAAATATCCGGGTGAAAAGTCAAATACACCCCTTTTTTTTACAATTCTCGGGCCGGACTTTGTCGCACGAAAAGTACCCCTTTACCGGACATTTTGGCAACACGCATGCGGTCATTCCGACCTCTTAGTGGGGGGGGGGGGGGGGGGGGGGCTTTAGCTAAACATTAAATATGTGAGTTAAAGGCTTTCAAGTGGGTTAATTATTCTTTTTAGAGATTCGGTAATACTAGTATTAATAATTTCGCTAGGATTTGTTGAATAAAGAGAGATCTTGGTTTAGATTGCAAAGATAGTCTGTAAAGTGAGCGTGAGTTCTATTGATTTTGCTTTCGAGTTCAGGGCCGAAATTCGTAAAAAATGAATTAAATGAATTCGCATGAAGACCAGGATCATGTAGTTGAGTGGCATTTAATGTGATATTATCCGTGGGTGGGGGATTTTTGTTCCCCATAAACTCATTGATGATTTACCAAGTTGCATTTGTGTTTGAACTGGCCTTTTTAAAATTCTATTAGAAAAGAAAATTCTACGGGATGTACGGATTAGTTTTGTTTATCTGTTGCGATAAAATATATATGTGTTTAGGTTAATGTCAGTTGGATTGTGTACGTGTAATTTATTGAGGCGTGTTTGTAATGATTTCAATTTCTTTATCTAAGGAGTCCTGGGTTTATTTCGCCTATTTTTAACTTTGCCTAGGGAATTTTCTTTTTATAATAATAATGCATTTTGTTACTAACATTTTTATATGCGGTATTAAAATCATATATATTATATACATCAGCCCATCCCTCGAAAAATAAATCCTATTTCAGCAATTCTATATTAAGTTTGGATTCTTTGCGATATATGTAAATCGCTTAGAGACTTTGTATTCAGCGCTATATAAAAGCGGGATATTATTATTGTTATTTAAGGCAACTTAGTTGACTTTCACAAGTTAAACATATGGGTAGGTGATTGGAAACTTCAGAACACAATATTTCACCGATGGTTTTGTTATTATGTACGTTTGAACAAATATTTTCGACCTGGGTTGATGAATATGAATGAATTCTGGGGGGTTTATTAATAATCAACTGCATACCATTGGTTGAATTACTGTTATCAGATGAGGGGGAGTGTTTGATGTTAAGGTCACCAAGGATAAAAAATACGATTATTTTTATCAACTATTTTATGAAGATAAAAATCCAGTTTGTGTCATAATAATTCACAACAAGAGTCAGAAGGTCTAGACTTGAACCTATTATGACATTTTTGACATTTGACATTAATTTCAATAAGTAATGATCCTGCTTGTGTTAGTTTGATTTGGGAACGGATTTTGAAATGTAGGTTTTGTGCAATATAAAACGCAACACCAGTTCAGTTCAGTTCAGTTTATTTTATTTTTGCACGGCACTAACTTCAGCAAAAGGCTGTTCTTCTGTAGGTCCGTGCGCAATAAAAAAAAATACATGTACAATTATAAGATAACACATATCATAACAAACAAAATTTAAAAAAAAAAAAAAAACAAGAGCATAAGTATAAAAGAAAAAAGATTATGTCATGATAAAGAGGAACCAGTTAGATGAGAATAAGTCGGGGAATCTGTATTAAAGCGAAATAATAATGACTGTCAAATAATTCTGAGTGCCCCTTCTATCACATAGGGTTCAAAAAAGGGGAAAAATTACAGTTTCCTTTCTTAATTTTAGTCGATGTAGACTAATGAAATGAAGAACGTATTCACTTAAAAGAAGATCATCAATACATAACATGCATGATAGTGTTCTCACACACAAACAAGCGCGTACTTTTATATTTTCCTAATTTTCATGTTTTTTCTCACATAAGAAACATAAGCTTAATTACCATAACATTTTGGTTAAAAAATAAACAAAATGCGTATATGCACAGCTTTATGAATTAATTATTAGTGCCTTCTATCACATAGGGTTCAGAAATATTAACATTTACATGTTCCTTTCTTTATTTTAGTCGACGTAAACTAATGAAATGAAGAACGTATTAGATCATCAATACAGAACATGCATGTTAGTGTTTTCACACAAAAAATACAAACGTGTATATATTCCTAATTTTCATGGTCTTCCTCACATAAGAAACATAACCTAACTACCAAACTATTTTGGTTAAAAACAACAAAATGCGAATCTGCACAGCTATATATGAGCCAGGCCTGACTGTTAAAGGGAAAGTCCACCCCCAAAATAAGTTTGTTTCGATAGAGGCAGAATAATAAGAAAATCAGGTGAGTGAAAGTTTGAGCAAATTCTGAATGAAAATAAGAAAGTTATGAATTATTGAAGTTGTGATCAATCAAATACAAATTGGCAACTCTGTGACTTATTATACGAGCTCTCCTTCATTTGCTTTGGGCATAATATTCCATAAAATCATGTTTTCTTCGTTATTGATGACGGAATATATATTTGTTCCTTGCAGGGGGAGTATAGAAACATATTTGCAATTATTATATTTAGGGTGCATGTATGGTTGAAATTTTTCTTGAGGGAAAATGAAAATTTTAGATTTTTTTAGTACTGAGCAAATGGAAGTTGAGCTCGCATGATACGTCATAGAGTTGCCAATTTGTGTTTGATTGATCACAACTTCAAAAATCCTAACTTCCTTATTTTTAATCGGAATTTGCTCAAACTTTCACTGACTTGTTTCTCTCATTTTTCTACTCCTATTAAAACTAACTTAATTTCAGGGTGGACTTCCCCTTTAATAACAATGTGTGTGTGTGTGTATTTGGGTTTTTACAGACGTGTATCAATCAGATATGATTATTTACGTCTGGGGACCGACTTTTAACGTCACCATCCGAAAGATGTGACTCAGTTTCGAACCTGCGTTCTCGGCTGAATCAGTTTGTAACTTCCACTGTTAGCGGGATTACAGGCGCACGCCACAACGCCTAGTTAATAATAATAATAATTCGTCCTTATATAGCGCATTTCAGGACCGCAGGCCCTGTCAATTCGCTTTACAGATATATATTTTTACCCCGGTCATCGGATTCATGCTTACCCGCACACAAGGTATGCACATTCTCCATAAGGGGAGGGAAAATGATATCGATATCAGCATCAATTTCTAGTTATCTTTTGCCACACAATATATCTGGAATCCGGACACATTTGTATGAGTTTTGTAAAGAAATAGAGTTCATTGTTAAACCAATGCAAGAAGGGACAGTTCAGGTACACAATTTGTTTTAATTGCATTTTCTTCAAAAAAAATGAAAATGAACATTTGGGAAGTTGTTATTCATTCGCAAAAATAGGCAATATCTTTTTCGTGCAAGTACTGACAAATAACATAAAACAGTAGCATTCCTCGACTCATACGATTTAAACAAAAATCAAACCTTCCGAGGAAAAAGAAAGAAGAAGAATGAAACTAGATATTGTATCAACATTTGCATAACTTGCAAGACCTCCGATTTTAGGGAAATGTTCTCATTTTCTTTTCATTTGTACATGGAAAAATGGTCCGCCTCCCTTTTTAGCTACTCTCTCAACCACTTTGGCAATTTCTTGCGCTTCCATTTCGGCAGCATATTTCATGAGCTTGAGCTCATTTTCTTTCTCAAGCTTTTGTAACGCCGCATAATTCTTTTCTTCCTCCTTTTGCATATTCTGCAAATGCTTTCGCTCATCATTCTTCACAGCCTCCTCAATATAGACCAAAGCTTTCTCTTTATTTGTCACTATTTCAAGCCTCATTTTCTCTTGTACGGATTTTACGAGCTCTAATTCTTGCGCAGCTACTTCTAGTGCTTCGGCATGTCGCTTCTTTCTTTCTGCAGCTTTATGCGCATCGACCTTCTTCTTATACTCTACTCGGATCTCGTGTCTCTTTTCTTTCTGGCTATGGAAGCTACCCCCGGCTTGTCCATCAGCAATGCAGCCTTCAAGGAAATCGAGAAGACGTGATTTTGAGCCAGCTTCAAGACCGGTATCAATATCAATTTTGTTCTGGATGACGAACACTCTTTCTCTGCCAATCCCATGTTCTTGCTCCAGCATAGACTTTATCTTCTGAATCTGATCCATAGTCATCTTATCTTTGTGAGTGACAACGACCGATGGCTTGCGACCTGATTAATAACACAAACAACAACAAAAAGTAAACACAAACTTAATGCCAGTTTGATACAAATAAGTAGCTTTGTTATTAATCAAAACATATATTTCTTGTAAATATTCTTTCCCACAACGGGTAAATTACGATAGGACAAATACATTCACATCAAAACTTTCTTTTTTCGGGGGCAGCTGGTCGGCTTTATATGTATATTCTTTTTGTATTTGTCTATTAATTCATTTTTTTACTCATTCATTAACTCACTTGTTTATTTAGTCATTCATTCATTTTGAATTCAATTATCCATTCATGTATTCATTTATTTGCTTTATCTTTGTGGTTGTTGGATATTATGGCGTTTTCTATCGTCGTTGGATGATTTTTGTTTATTTATATTTTGTTTATTGAGCAGGCTTGTCCCACTAAGATAGAGCTGTAAACAAATTATAACATAAACAATACTTGTAGATGATAGGATTTCCAGGCGAAATTCGCGAGTTTGTCATTCGAATTCATTTTCTTTGCATTGAAGTTAGCGCAGATCGGCTTTGCCATGACAATTATCATTCAATTTTCCCGTTTTAGTATTCAATTTAAAATTGTGGTCGAAGGGTTTCATAGATCTGTCATTTAATTTAGAAACTGCTCAACTAGCATTCAAATTAATCGTCACTTGTCGAGGCGTCATTTTTATCATTCAAATTAACACCTGTCATTCGTATTCGAATTATGTTTATTCAAGTTAGGAATTTTAGGGGGAAAATGCAACACACGTTTACAGTTATTTAAAAAAATGCAATTAACTGCATGATTTGCCATTACGGTCTTTTCTGTTATTCCATTTTTGTTGGAAGGGGCGAAATCAAGGGATATGGTTTTTCTGCACGGACATGTTAATATACCCCGGAAAAGTGGGGATACAAAAATACTTATCCCAGTCACAATATTGTACCCTTCCTCCATAATGAAATTGTGATAAATTTATGATGAAACGCAAGACAAACAACTTCCTTACATGAACATTTACAAAAATATTGAGACCATCAAGTCCGTAGATGTAAGTCTTTTTTTTTTCTTCTTAACAATCAAACTTAAAGGATGATGAATATCAGATAAATCTAAAAGTATATGAAGTGTATAAATGAAAGAAAATAGAATATGATGAAATACACATGCAAAAAACAATCTTGAAAGAAAAAGAATAAGCTATAAAAAGTGTGTAATAAACGAGAAATGTATATTGACCATCAATTTAAGTGCACAAGGTGCTAATTTGAATGCTACAAATGAATTCGAATGCTAAAAGTACACATTCGCGATGCCAGAAATCGTGTTGCGCCAAATCGAATGACCAAATAGCGAAAGAAGCACACTATTCATTAATTTAAATGAAACATACATCGATTCTAGCGAAAAATTCGTAGATTTCAAAACTAGAAAAAGGAATATCAACCCAAGATATATCTGACAGCACTAAAACCGCCGAATTTGAACGCAAGACAAATTAATTTAAATAACAAACTCGCGAATTTGGCCGGAAAATCCTAAAACACCGACATGAAAGGAAACAAAACACAAACCCCCAAAAGGTCATCTACATATGATACAAGACAACAAAAGAAAAATACATAAAACAGAGTTAATTAATATAAATGGTTACAAGTAACTTAAATCAAGTCACTGGTAATGTATAGGACATTACTAGTAATTATCCAGTGGGGGGGGGGGGGGGGGGGGTAACAGCAAGTATTAACCTAACAAACCTAACTGTAATACAGCTACATTCAAATTTATCTAGGCCTATAACATAATCAAATTCATAGACAAGTGGAACATATAATCACTGATTCATTCTCAGACTGTTCTTTTTATATCTTTTTATCACAAAAGTATTCGAGAAAATACATGTAGTCTCACCAGTCTCCTTGTTGCACGTCTTGACCAGATTCTGCATGCCTTTGAGTGCACCGAGGCCACCTTCACCACTTCAGCGAGAGAGAAAGAGAAAGAGGGGGAAGATAGAGAGAGAGAGAGAGATAGGAGGATAGAGAGAGAGAGAGAGATAGAGAGAGGAAGATAGAGAGAGAAAAAGATAGAGAGAGAGAGATATAGAGAGAGGAAGATAGAGAGAGAGATAGAGAGAGGAAGATAGAGAGAGAGATACAGAGAGAGAGGAAGATAGAGAGAGAGAGAGAGATAGAGAGAGAGGAAGATAGAGAGAGAGAGGAAGATAGAGAGAGAGAGATAGAGAGAGAGAGAGAGAGATAGAGAGAGGAAGATAGAGAGAGAGAGAGAGGAAGATAGATAGAGAGAGAGAGAGAGAGGAGGATAGATAGAGAGAGAGAGAGAGAAAGAGAGAGAGAGTGGAAAAAGAAAACGGGATGGTACGACGAGAAAACAAACTTGTCTTACTACTATTAAATAAAGAACTTCGAAAATATTGCTGCATACATGTATGACTATTATACATCATGTTGACGTCGTTCTTGTATGCTCCTTGAAACTGGATGGTCAATTTTAATCAAGTGAAGCCAACATTTTATAGTTATGAAAGTAACGACTTGAAAACTGAGGATTCAACATGAGCTAGCGAGAAACATTGAAATTTTGCATACGTTGTCTACAAATCAACAACAATCGAACAAAAGGATATACGATTTAGCTAGTATGCTTAAAAAGCGTTGAGTACATATATAAGTTAGCTTTGTAGTTCAAAATCTTATTAGTTGATTTCATACAGTAATGCATTATGTCATACTTTACATTCATTACGTGTCTTAAAGGCCCACTGCGCTACTGGTAGCTACTTGCGCCCTCTATATAACAAACAATGCCTAATCGGTGACCATTGGTCCCCCATGATCCTCTATTTCTTATGTTAACTGAGAGCTTAGTTGATGAGATAACCACCTGTCCAGTGACCTTGCAGAGCAGTCTAATCCCTCCTGTAAACTACGGCAGATAAGCTTTAAGAATTTAAATTCTGCATTTCTGAGACATCCCTTTTAAAATCCACTTTCGATAGCCTTAGGGGTTTAAACTTCATTTCAAAACCGATTTCACAATAGATTATTCTCACGTATAAGTGCCCGTTATTTATCGATTCTCTTCGTGACAAGTGCATCTATTTTGTTATCCTTTTGTATTGAAACGACAAGATCCTCTAGATAGGTATAAATCTGTGTCAAAGACGCAATATGCATGACGTAAGAAACTAGGATTTATTATAGTAAAGCGATACTGAACTAATGAACTTTCTGCCCTTGCGTAGACTGTTCAGAGCCATCTACTTACAGAGCTTGGCCAACTTGGTTTCACTTGGTCACAACATGGCGTATATTCTTGTGTTTCGTGTTTGCCCAACAAAGCATTAGTCGCCCTATTGTGTCCAACTCAAACCGGGTTGGCCAGACTTTGTGTATAGATGGCTCTGATACTGTTTATTGTACAGAGCCATATCATAGTCAACTTGGCAACAGTGCGTAACCCCATACCTAATTCCCACTTCGCAGACATAATCAAGGAATATGGCTTTAAAAGCAAGCACAATCAAATAGATTGTGGGGGAGACTCACTTGATAACGATGGTAACACAGCTTATTTTCTCTGCAATAACTAGAGGAATTTCCAGGATGTCTTCTTCCTCTTCTCCATGTTCCCAATCTACATCATCAACGAAGGCCCGTCGGGCATCTGAAAGAAGAATAATTATTCAGATATATCAAACTAGTCGTAATTCTTTAAAAAAAATATGACAATCGACCAGGCTTTAAAAAAAAACACAATAAAGGGGCTGTTTGTAAATGGTTGGTTTAATTCCATTCAAATGATGCATCATCATAACATTTGTAATTGTTATAATGTTTACTGCCTTCATTTTCATCATTGTTATCATCATTACTAAACCATTTCTCAGTAATATTATACCTTTATTTAAAAAATATTATTGTTATTATTATAATTATTGTTATTAGTATTGTCAGTAAAAGTAGGCCTAGCACTAATAGTTGTAGTAGTATCAATATTACTAAAAGTATTATTAAAATCATAATTATATATCTTTATCATTATTATCATGATCATTAACATTATCATTATCATTATCATTACTATTATCATCATTAATATCATCACAATCATCATTACTACTACTACTACTGCTACTGCTCCTACTACTAATACTTACGTTTACTGTCATCATAATCATCATTATCATCATCATCATTATCATCGTTCTTACTGTCACTATCATCACTACGATAATAAGTAATATTAATGTAACCTTACTTATTTGAGCGACTAGCTCTTTCAGAGCCACCTCTTTCTCCCAGTCGTGCCATCCACGATTATCCACAATGGTCAGAGCATCGGTCAAGTCCACCTGCTCCCGCATAAGGGTGTGTCCACCCATCATGTCCGGCGGGGCAGTGGGGATGTACCTGCTGATACCCTTCTGCCTAGAGTCCTTGTCGTAGTCGATGATGTTGATCAAGGAGTTGATTAAGGACGATTTCCCAGCTCCGGGAGCTCCGACGAACATGACCGTGGTTTTATTTTCCTGGTCGCAGATAGCATCCACCCGGCTACGGGCATCTTCGATTGAAGTTGCCATTTTCTTCAATCCTTGCTCACAAATGATCTTCGTCGAGTATATTATTTTATATTTAAATGAATCATGCGACTGTATTTATATGGAGAGAACACATAGAATACTATTACGCAATAAAAACTGCTAGAAGTTTCTCCGAATTACAAATTTCATCATCACTGTCTCGTGATCTGCTTTATTGCATATTCCTGCCCATTTTAGGAAAGTCAACACGCCTACTTTCCGTTTCACTTCCTCTCTTTTGGGATATATAAACGTGTGGCAGCGACCTTAGAGCAGTTACATTAAAGGTGGACTGTTAAAAGAAAATGGACGACCCGGTTTCATTGGCTGTATGTTCTATGTCTCCATCCAGAAGCGAGTATGAAGAATTCATTTCAAAATTGGAAAATCATGGCAATGTTAATGTAACCTTTTGTTGTATTGCAAGTGATGTTCAAAGGGAAAGTCGTGTATTCTGTCAGTATGATGCGGTGATCTTGATTCATTCAATTGCCAGGGGAAGATTGTCCATTACTGATGTGCAGGATGCCCAGTATGACGAGTTTCTTCCTCGCCTTAGCAAAGAATTCGGTAGGTACATCCTCGTCGAAAGAAGGGGTCATGGGGAACGAAGAATTTGGGAGGAAAATCTATATTTGTGTAAATCCTCGAAATTGATAATTGTTTGGTAAATTGAAGGGTAAAAATGTAATTTTATCACTGTCTCGAAAAAAGTAAATAGTGTCTTTAATTTGTATTCCGTATCAAGGAGTAAAAACCAAGGGACCTTTCTTGAGATACTACATTTACCAAAATTGCATACGTATTTCTGGAGATATAGTCTTTAGTCTCTCTTTGTTGGTGCTAGTGAGCATGTTCCGTGGAATTGCCCACATATTTAGAAGTCGACATTGATGACACAGTGGTGTAAGATCTTCTTTCATAAAATAATGCTACTCACATATATAATAATGTTTTTAAATATCGCATTTCCAAATATATGTTTAAATGCGCTTTATAATTATCCACACATGTACTAAATGAATGCAAGTATCGAATTTGTAGCTGACTAATATGAATTTAACTCCGATGTCAAACTTAACATGACAAGAAATATACGATTTCTTTAAGATGTAGGGCTAACCTTACTAATAATCTCGTTGCTAAGTCATGTTAGAAGTTTAGAACATTTTCTAAATGCATGCAAAACATGGTCCTGTTGTCTTACCTTTCTTCATTTCCCTTCATAGCTGTCACCACTCGATGGAAAGGGGACAGGGGACACGTACTGTTGCTAAAATGGAATATAAATGGTTAACAATTATTCGTTCTATTCATTTCATTACCCATTACCGTTTTATTTAGGTCCTTCTCGTATCGTAGTCTTGGTGCATGGACTATCGGATCCTGAAGCTTCAATGGAGATTTTTGCCAACAAGCAGCCAACCACCATGAGATGCTCCCAGTGGGTAAAGCTCTGCAGGAGTCTTCAGGATGAGGATGTGACATCCATGGTAAACCTTTTCTTGGCTAAGGTGCAGGAGAGTCCTAAACCAGCTCCGGGGTGGCCAACACTCCCAACTGAGACCGAAGGAAGTCTTCAAGATAGCCAAAGACATCCTCAGGTTGAACACATCACAGCCACAAAGGTGACTTACAGAGGGGAGAGATGGAGTCTTGATATGCCTAGTATTGACTTCATCATGTGTGCTCAAGCGTGTACTCGGGATTCTCTTTTGCAGACGCTAAGGACAGAGGCGATGCAAAATATGATCCACTGTCTATGCTTTGAACAAACACAAGGTGAATTGGCTAAATTTCCTCTTTTGTGCAAGTCTAGAGGTGTTGTAGTCGAGTGGTTCAAACGCTTGACTTGAAATGCAAATAGCGTGGGTTCAATCCCCGATACATCAATAATTTCATTTGACAAGGCATCAAACTACATTTTCCTCCCGTACCCAGGAGAGAAATGGGGGACCTGATAGGATGACGAAATCCTTTGCGTTAGTAATTGCCATAATGGCCTCACGGTGACCATATGGTAGGAATATTTCCCAGGGAGTGGAGATGGTGCATATTGTGCCTGGATGAATCCAATGACCCGGGGAATAATATTTATAAAGCGCTTAGAGACGGTATTTCGTATTTAATGCTAATTGAGTCCAGATTATTATTGTCCTTGTCATCATCATTATATTAATGATTTAGCTTCAGAATATGAAACCCAATCATACATGATTGTAGATTGAAGCGTGCCGGGGGTTTCAAGTGTGACATGACATGTTCGCCATGTATGCGGGGGGGGGGGGGGGGGGGTTTCCAGACACTTAACAACCACAAAGCTCTCTGTTTTTGCTTAGGATTTAACGAAAAATATTCATAAAATAGCACCAACCATCATCAATATTTTCCCTTATAATATAGTCCAACATAAATCTTAGAATATTTGTAAACTAATGCCTGCAAACATCTTCAAATTGCTGTTTTACATCCTGCCCGGATACACAACGTGTCCGGACTCACTACAAGAAATCCGGCTACTATTATTAACATTAATTTCATTGTATTTAAATCCAAAGATGGATGGCAGCATATTACCAGCGACAATTCAAGAACCGACCCTTCAAAAACCGACCCCGTGTACGATTCTTTAGCATGCATGCATTCTGCTATCTTTATTTACAGGTAATTATACTTCAATTCTTGATGGAAACAATTTTAACTAATGAGCGTATCTCACTCCTTTTGTTTAAGTTCTTTTATATTACTGTATTTTTGTCCAATGTCTGTTTTTAAAAGCCCTGCCTCTACAAATAATTTGGTTTTGTCCTGGGCTGTTTATGTCTCCTTTGTCGTGCAAGTTTAATCAATAAAGTGATGATTTAAAATATATATTTTTCTTTACTTCCCTACATTACAGCGCATAGCCGAAATGTTTCTGATAAAATTAAGCCCTATTTAAGTATGGTATATCTTTATTTCTATTATTATCATTGTTATTATAATTAGTAGTAGTAGTATTATCATTATTATTTTTGTTATGATTTATGCTATCATTATTGTTATCATTAATATTATTATCTTAGTTATTATTATCCTTATTATCATTGATATCAATATTACAATAAAAATAATGATAATAATAACAATAATTTTTTTTTTTAATTATTAATATTATTATTATTTATCTAAACTGAATTATTCCGTGTCATCTGTTGGGTCTGTTATCGGTCTGGTGTTAGACTCGTTAATGTTGACTATATAAGTGACCGATTCTCAGGACATCTTAAGCTCACCGCAATCTAAAAGTTCCTCCTTTCATCCGATTTTTGAAAGGAAAATTCAATTATATTAGAAATGGGAATATAAACTCACATCGTCTTCCTGATTTAGGTTATAAAGAATGATACAAATACTAACAACCGGAATTTCAGAGCATTTGACTTCTCGTTATTTTAGAAATGTTAAAGTTAGTTCACAAACTAGTCTAAATATACTCATATGTTGCTATCAATACTTTGAATGTATTAACTGTCCTATTTATTTTTCATGTGTATTACACAGGGACAAGATCCCAATAGAATTTAATGGCGACACTCTAGAAGAGCTGAAAGACATCGTAAATGGTTAGTATAACAAAATTATTTACTTTCTATAAACATGTTCATGTACTTTTCGTACACTTTAGTATTATTAATTTAGTATTATCTTAAAGGTACTAGCATTTTAAACCCGAGAGAAAATAGCTACGGCTAAGGATTCACCCCAACCCCCTCAAAAATTCCCCTGAGGAGTGGATTAAATCACATTTTTGAATAACAAGATTTTGTTTTCCACTCTTACCAACGGACATTAGTCCATCTTGCATAAACAAATGATTCATTTGAATATAACTAAACAAAAGTAAAGACATGTCCCAAATACCCATCCCCTACTGGTTTAAAATCAAGTGTTTATAGTTCTATTATTTGTATTCTTTTTATCATCATTCTATTATTATAATTGTTATTGTTATTATTATCGTTGTTGTCGATAACACCATTATTTTACCATTAATATAATCTTTGTTGTTCTTATTGTTGTTGTACTACTGCTACCACTTCTTCTGTAAATTGCGTTTGAAGGTACGGGTTACTGAGGGTACTGGTTCCATATAATTTCAAGTGTATGACTTTTCTTGTTTTCTTTCTTTATCAGACAAAGCTCAAACGGAGCCAGTTTTGGTTGCTATGCAAGGCGTGGTTGATGATGTATGCCTGAATGAAATACTGGATATATCCTTATCCTGCGCAGACGAGGGCGTTCATATAGTGCGCATTCTTCCAAGAGTCCAAGGGCAATCTTCCGAAAGAGATCATCCCAAGACTGAAACGCTTTCAGTAAAAGATAAGATGGAACTGGAACTCAAACAAGTGATTACTTTGAAGGAACAGTTTAGATCAGGAATTAGAGAATTAGAAGAGGAAATGTCTGAATGTCGTAGTAGAATCGGAGTGTTGAAAGGCAATATTACGAGACTCGAGAAGGAAAAGTCTCAACTCAGTTCAGCCAAAGAGGATGAGAGAACAACACTGCAGGCTATCAAGAAGGAAGTATATGAAGCAACAGAGAAGATTAAAGAGCAGGAGAAGGCCTTCCAAATACATCTGGACCAAATTAAAGAAGAGCTTGAAAAACTTGCTGAAACGATTGCTAGTCAAAAGGCACACATTTCTGAAGTTCAGGAAAAATACGCTGCTGAATGCAAAAAACTAGAAGAGAAGAAAAGTAGTGGTCAGTACAGGGTAAGAGGAGTTAAAGGTGAAGCTGCCGCAATAGACAAGAGTTTTACAACGGGAATAGATAAACCAACACCAGATTCGAATATGAGGGACAATATTAGCGATGAAGACAAACACACGAGTTGGCATTGTTGTCTCTGTGACTTGATTTCTTTATACAATACAATATACTAAAGTCATTTACATAGCACTCTTACAAACTAACTATTGTTTCATAGCGCTTGACATAAAAATTATCAAAGAATCTTTCGTTGATCATGGTCAAA